TTCATCCAGGCTTTGACCTAATGTGCTTAGATTTGAAAGAATTGAAGTGATGAACATGCATGAAAGCGGAGATTACCATTTGAATCCTTATATGGGCGAGGGTGTCAACCCTAGATATGTTGAGCAATGATTGGAGAAACGAAACTGAACAAAAAGCATGCAAGTGATATGTCCCACTTTGATCCAAGATTCAATCAACAGATCATAGAAACGATTGTGTAAAAAGGAGAAACATTGCAGATTGTACACAAACGACCAGAGAGTTATGTGAATAAAAGATGTAAGTCTATTGACTTCCATGTCAGAGACCATGTAAGCTTTAAAATGCCTTCTCTTTTAGATGAGTAATTCAGCTTAGAGAACAAGTCAAGTTAAAACACGAATCAATGGACCTTCATGATTTTCAGATAGAATTTGGTCCTAATATTTACATCAAGTTATCTCGAAAACAAAACGATGTGCACGACACTTTTCCATACGTCAAATCTCAAGGAGTGTCGGTCCGATGACACACTTGTTATCTCAGTTTCAATGAAGCGAGCTAGGAAATCGTGCGAATATTTAGTAATTAGGAAAGTACATGTGTTTAAATTCTATATAAAACTCGATGATCGTTAAAATAATTGATTCGGTCGTATTCCAAATTCCTTATTTAGTGGTGACTTGTGGTAAAGTCATATAATGGATAAGTTATCCAATCTAGAGCTACAAAGCTTAAATCGACTTTACACAGATCATGTACGGATCAAGCGAAAAGAAGTCATCACCAACTGTTTATAATATTTTATCTATACTTTGAATTTCAAGACGAATTTCCATTCAACGGAGGATAACGTAACAACTGGAAACAAATATTGGTGAGAGTTAGGCGAACAAACCAACGCAAAACATTGACAGTTGTGTTTTATTTTATGTTTAATAAGTATATTGAAAATATTATATTCCTAATTACCTTTTAGAACATCCCAAACTGATTAAATCGTCTGTCATTGAAGATAGAATCGAAAATCACCAAAAATTTAATATGTAATTCCTAAAGTTTTATAAATCCGAATTTCATACGATAAATAGAAAATCATATAATCACTATATATAAACGTATTTGTAGAGAATTGTCATATATGATATTGAAAAACCAAGTCTTGGCTTATCTAGCAATTTTGGCAAGTTCATAAGCTGTTAAATCTCGATCCATATAATTACATATTATATACATATAAAAAATTATGTCAGGAGTTGGTATATGAATGCATATGTATTTGACATGATTTATTAGTTTCAAACAACACCCACATGCTTGAAATCTAATGGAAACATACTGATTACATGAATATGAATAATTTCTAACCACTACATGAGTTCAAATTTCAATCAAACCACTCGTCACACATATATTTTCACAAACTCACTTATACAACACACACATGTACATGACACTAAAGAAGCTATTAATACATATCAAGCCTAATAGCAATTAAACCAAAAACATGAATAGATACATGATATTGACCAGTTTTCTCACACACAAAAACATCCACATGTATGAACATAAACCCATAATACCATACATTGTACTCTCAGGATCACTCCTAAATCTTTTGATACACAAAAGTCTCATAAAAATCTACATTAGATCACAAATAGCTGAAACAAAATTATCTGACCCTCCCTTTCACTCTTCCTTCTACCACAATTCACTCCATCCTCTCCATCTTTCTCTCTCTCTCTCTCTCTCTCTCTCTCTCTCTCTCTCTCTCTCTCTCTCTCTCTCTCTCTTTCTCTCTCAGGGTGGAAGAAGACACCACCAGAATTGGAGTTTTCCGACCATCAAAGGGGCAGAAACCCCCTTTTTCCTGTCGTGTGGCACCACCCAAACACCCTCCTGCTTCAGATATTGCAGCTTGCAAATACCCCTATGAGGATTCCTGAGCAACAGCAGCCAGACATCCCCGATTGTTACACCTTGATTTCTTACTTCCCAGCAATCGAACAAACCCCCAAAACAACCACCTGATTTTTGTTTCTTCTTTCCTTCACCACCCATTCAATGTTTCTTCTTTCCTCCCTTGTCAAGCAGTCAAACCCAAACACTGATCTAAACCTATAGATTAAACTGCATTAATTTACAGTCAAAATAACAAGAAGAAGAAGAGGAAGACGACCTGTAATATTCAAGCAAACCGCAAAACCCGAATACCTGCCCTTCTTCTCGTCAAACTCCACTGCAAACACCCCACCGATCGCAAACCCCATTGATCGACGACCGTTAATGCTCTTCATGACCGGCCAAAGACCGGATACCCCCTTTTCCCCTGGTTTTCCTTCTCTACTGTTCGCGTCGACCACAGAGCTCCGAGGGTCTCAACTTGCTGCCACCTCTGTTTACGGCGTCCGGACTCCCCATCGGACCTCCTCCCTTCGCACCTCACACAGCCAGCGATGAACGATCGAACCTTCGTTGCTTCTCCATTCGTTCTTCAGTCTAGTCGAACCCCGAAGATGAACCTTCTCGCTGTCGATCGACGAAGTTGTGCCTACGAGCCTTCGTGTTTTCCGCTCTCTCTGTGTTCGTCCATTGCCTTCGTTCCCGTTCCTTCTCCATTGTCCCTTTAAAGACGACGCCCCTTTGTGATGTTGGAGCTTTTTGATCGACTGTATCGGGACTTCAATCAGAAATTGGGTTTTTATTTTGACCCAGCCAAAAGTCAAGGGTAACTCAAAACTTATATTTAATTTAAACAAAACTAACCCTCACTTGACAAAGCTTTATCAAATCAGTCAAAATCCATAAACAATGATTCCATTTATTCAAAATCAACCCTTCATTTGGTATTTTTTCTTACCAAAACAGTCCTAACCATCTAATTAAATTACCAAAAAACTCATATACGTTAGCAAAGTTACAAATAAGACCCCGATAGTACCAATTTATTATGAAGTAGACCCAAAAGTATTTCAAAGTTCAAGAATTGTAGATTTGCGGTTTCTTACGTCAAACTTCTCAAAGAAACCGAATTCGAACGATTGCAAATCACGCTTCAAGGTTTAGTTTCTACGGCCCCCCTTTTACTTCTTTAAAATTTGAGGGAGAATACATGCGTGTCGATTATAGTGTTGATAATTTTCAAATTTTATATACAAAATCGCAGCATACTTTATTATTAATTGCCAAAAACTTATTAAATAGCAATCAAAAATTTTATAAATCATTTATAAACAATACAAGTAAATTAGATTGCTAAAAGTTAATATTTTTATTCTTTTTTGTGATTATTAATATGTAAATTAAGATATTATGAAATCAAAAGTATTATTCGAGTATATGCCAAAAGTACGTTGCTATATTTGATGGAAAGACAAAGATTACAAAAATATTAGTGTTCAAAAATCGGTCTATCCGGCTGATTAATTGGTGCCTAAACGCTTGGCGGTCTCCAACCGCCTACGAATAGGTGTTACGGAGATGATCTTGGACTAGATGGCCAGATCTTACCTCATCCTAACCTTAAAATATACACCTTTGCTGAACTCAAATCTGCTACAAAGATCTTTAGAAGCGATACAGTCTTAGGCGAAGGTGGTTTTGGAAAGGTTCATAAAGGATGGATCGAAGAGAAATCGATTTCAAAACATGGAACTGGTTCTGTAATCGCTGTGAAAAAATCAAATTCCAAAAGTATGCAAGGAATCGAAAAGTGGCAGGTAATTACACTGTACCTGGGGAATCTACTTAATAGTCTATGAAGATTACACTGTAAAAAAACCATGCAAAATTCATAACTTCTTCATACAGATTCCGTTCTCGACGTTATTTATATCGACAGATTGGTATTTACGAGATCTTCAACTCTCGTTTACATTGTTTTGGCTAACATTCATCTGATCTTAGTTTTGATTTCAGTGTCCCCCCATGTTCTTTACCTGGAAAGCCATGGGCTCCCCCACATGGTCTGACATCCAAGTGTCATGGGCTCCCCCATGGTGTTTACCTGGAAACCCATGGGCTCCCCTACATGGTATGACATCCAAGTACCATGGGCTCCCCTCATAGTCTTTACCTGGAAAGCCATGGGCTCCTCCATATATGGTCTGACATCCAAAGGTCATGGGCTCCCCCCATGGTCTTTCATGCAAATAGAAATTTTGCCTGATAAGGACCAAGCCAAAACAGGTCGGATGATGATGTTGGGACTCATTGATGAATCATATAGTATGTTATTTGGAAGCATAAATGATTACGAGGACGGTGAAGTAACCTTGGTATGACTACTACGAACCCTATTTTTATCATAATTAACAAATACAACTAAACGAGGGTCTTGATAATTTGAAACAATGAACCTTCATGAAATGACCCCTACTAGGTCTCTCTACAATCGATTTGTGTACACCAGCCATGTATAATTAATTAATTAATGGGGTTTGGAAGCGTACCAAAATTATAGCAAGTGTCTTTAATGCTTCCCCATATTTTGGGTTCAAACTCCTCCTGCTCCCACACTATTCTTCTCTATTGGACAGTCCCTTTTGAAATGTACCATTTCACCACAAAGTTGGCATATTGGATTGATTTCAACGTTGGTGGTCAAAGCAATCTGCCGGATCGAGACTCTGCAGAAACAGGTAGTGTTCCCGTTCCTGTTGCAGTTCTTGCAATGAATCTCTCAACAGGCTCCCAGGTGATGAAAGTCGCACTCCTTGCACTTGGGTAGATTCCCAGGGTTAGCTAATCATTTTTGGTCAATATCGGTCAAAGACGGTCCTAATCAGACCAACTCGGACACCAAATCAGACCACAATCAGCTCAGCTAAGTCTAAAAGATCCACAAGCTCAAACGAGCCGGCTAGCCCAAAGCTTTCTTGGCTTTGATTCTCAAATGGGCTAGTTCCTCTTTTTATAGAGTAAGTTTTGCATTCATCAATTATCCCCAAGCGATATGGGTTGAACTTTTAATTGTTTCATATCTATTCTTTGCGTCTCTTTCATCCCCACTTTGCATCTCGTTCTTCCCACCTTTCTCTCTCAATCGAACAACCCTGCTAAACTGTTGAATATATACAGGTGTAACCCACTGCCGAGCCACCTTTAATACTTTCGTCACTTGCATTTAATGATTTGAGTGGTGAAATCCCTTCTAGAATTTGGGATATGGAGAAATTAAAATTTATTGATTTTGAAGCTAATTCGACTCACGACAGGGAATCAATCGTCGTTCGTATTACATCTGATCATGTTGATTCATTTATAACTTTTCTTGCTATCACTTATGTCGATTGTTTCCTATCAAAAAACATCAATATACAGGTAATGGTTATATATATTTACTTCAATCAAAATTATCTTATGGAATCAACACTTTAGATTCACTTAATTTCAATTTGATCGATGCAGGTGGTTCTACGTGATAAAGGTTTTGAAGAAAAGTTGAAGTTGTTCATCTTCTGTTGGGTTTCAATCGCTTGCAAAAGACATTGTTCAGTCTTCTGTTGTGTTTCACTCTGTTTGTGGATCTCCCTACAATTCATGATTTGTTTTTGAACAAATAAAGAACTAGAATTTGTATCAATGGAACGAATTAATCGATGGATACACTAGAAACGATCTCTATTATGAATCGATTCTTGTCTTTTCCTATTTTTTTGTAACATGTCATATACCTGATAATTTCACCCTGCGTTGCATGATCAAAGCTTGCTTCAGAGCTCTGAATTTGATATATGGACAGGTGGTTCACAAGACGGCTGTGAAGACAAGTTTAATCTCAGATGCTTTTGTGGGTAATGCATTGGTTGCAATGTATAAGAAATTTGAACTTATTGAAGATGCAGTTAAGGTGTTCAACTTTATGCCTCAAAGAAACTTGATCAACCTTCTTAAACTTACACATTTTGTTGTTATAGTCTCTAAGCAATATTAGGTGAAAGAAGTTGTCATAAGCTATCTGCAGGGAGTGATTGAAAAGACAAACCTACAAAAGAGATGCATATAGATGGAAGGTGTTTGAGTAAATGCTTATGAGAATCAAACTTGTAACTAGCTTGCTAAGTGTTTGAGTAAATGCATAAGAGAAGAAAGTTACAAATTGAAAAGAAAAATAAAATTATGTATTTAATATTTATTATATTATTTCTTAACTTTTTTAGTTATAGTCTTAACATTAATGTTATATTTATTAATTTTTAATAAAAAATTTTGATAATTAATGGTCCCCTATTAATCCTTTAACCCCAGTCCACCGTCGAGCTACCGTTGAACGATTTCTGAAACCTTGGAAAATATATAATCAGTAGTTTAAATTATTGAAATTTAATTTTAATATATACAAGTTATGTAAAATGAATGTAAAATTTATTAATATATTTTTATATTAAATATAAAAATATAACTCAATATACTAAGTTATGATTTTATTGCGATAAATAACATGATTGACTTCAAAACTTAAGGGTCGTTATTTGCGACATGTTATATTGTATTAATAACGTGAATTATAAATGTTATGGTATTGTTGGTTTCACCTTTGTTGAAACCTGGAAAATATTATCAACACAACCGTTATGTTGTCTAAATTTCGTTACGACATATAATAAAATAACTATAGGTGTCCGATATCTTATAATGAGAAGTTAGGATTAGGATGCCTAGACATATTGTTAGGATCCATCATACTCACGGGACGTTCTATATAAGCTACATTTATTCTGAAAGCTTTATGAGTTTGGATTATTTCCTAAGCTGCATGGCCTATATTTGTCACAACTCTAAGATCGTACATCTTAGTGGAAATTCCTATGTGTCATAACCGTTAATTCATATTGGAACGAGGAACGCTGGGTATAAGTTCCGGATCGCATGCTTATATAGGTTGACATCCCGCCACCGGTTGCTAGCTACAACCATCGGTTGACAAGTCAAGTTTAGGCGCTGGCGTTTCCTACACGATAAAGTTTGCGAGGATCAGCAAATTTGGGTGTGGATTTTCAGCACTAAAACTTGTAAGTGTTGTTGCAGAGGTGTTCATCACAGTTCGGTTATGAGCTCATCATTGACCACGGGTTTGCCTTGTTACCGTATAGAATTGATATCGGGCTTTTATAGGGTTTTTCTTTCGATGATCATAGTTGAATGAGACTATAGGTAGTTGGATAGCTTGCGATTCAAAACGATAAGTGTCAATACCAGAAACTAATTCAAATAATACTTAATTAATATCATGTGACATGACTCGACGAGGTTTATTAACTTACCATGAATAAGTGATTTATATAAACCCTTTGTTGTTACACGCAAACACAATTCTTATGTGGGAAGAGTTTGCCCTACTGTTTAAGTGTAGATTTCTAAATCAAGTAAGGTAATACTTAATTAATACCACGACACGAATTTACAAAATCTATGAATTTTACATATAAGGTATACGAATGCTTCTCCAACGTTTCAAGAGTAAATGCGGATGTTTTATATTTTCACAAAGAGCGATATGGTTTTCTATTACATAAATTGGTATTCAAAATCTTTATATAAAAAACATTTTTGGCCTTGAGAACCGTAAAGATTTATTATAAATTTGATTTACTTATATATTCAACAAATGGTTATTTTTGGTTTTGAGCAAACAATATTTTTAAATGAGTATAAATACACTTGTAAAACTCATTTTATTTTTATACTTTTGATTGAAAGACACATATTCAGAAAAGCTGGTTAACCAAAGAATCGTTACAAAAACACTTTTGGTTATAAAAATATATTTTGTCAAAACCTGTAGAATTCACCAACAATTTTGTTAACATATCTTAAAGCATGTATTCTCAGATTATTTAACAGGTAGGATGTGTTCACGTAGAATATTCACTGTCATTTTCATTATACCTTTGTAAACTCCAGATTGTTAGGCGTGTGTCACAAGTTAGTACTAGTCATTATCAATGTCATTCTATTTCGGTAATAATAGATGATTATATTTGTATTGTTCAATGTACGTTCCCTAACTGTGATTACTGATTTACGTCGTGTACCTTGGTGTTTCCGCGAGCGACCTATGGTGTGACAGATTGGTATTAGAGCTATTGCCTATAGCAAACTACTACCTTCTTAGGAAAGTGCAACTACAGCCTAGGGCTTACTCTTTTAGGTTATGTATATTTCTTAACCCACAAATATAGGTTATACATGTATATACATATATAAAATCAAACCCTCGAATTCTTAGAAAACACAAGGTTTTTGCTCAAACACCCTAGCTAAGTTGGTTGTACAAGGGTTGAACCACAACTAGACATAGACTGATCACCTATGTTCAATTATGGTTAGACCGGTGCACAATCAAGCTTGGATTCGTTTGTTAGTAGACTTAAACACTTGGAATCCAGAATATTTAAAGAAAGTCACAGTTCGAATCGCTTAAGAACTCACGAAAACTTTAGTGGACACTTACGAATACTTAGCGAATATTTACCTAAAATACTCATGAAACTTTAAGTATCATTAACGTAAATTTTGTTCAAAGTTAATCTCGGAATGCTAATTACTCAACTATAATATTCTACAAATGTTCCTATTAGATATATTTCAAATACCTTGAAACATTCGTGCATTCGCTAATCTTTTCGAATTCGGCTTAGGTATTCCATCAGTCTATCTCATTTTGTTATGAATCGTCCGACTTATGTTTGAATCAACCAAGTTTAAAAGAAGGCCACCTACACCTTTAAGGACACTGCATTACCAAGTAGAACTACTAAACGGAAATCGTAAGCTTTGACTCCGCTTATGGCACGACTTGAGAATAACTAAAGAATGTGCTCTAGGAAGTGAGATACAGAAATTAGAACAAGCACTAGTTAAATTAAAGTGTGTTATGAAGATGGTGAAACTGCACAAGACTAAAGAGCCAGGAGGTGACAACTCGATTCAGAGAAATCGTGATTAGATCAAGGAATGAAATCCTGGAAACATCAATTGTAACTGGTGCGTTTCTTAATAAACACTCGTATACTGAAGTACCTTTAATTATGATATGAAAAGAAATCCTTGTGAATCCTAAACTTAAACCTATTATGAGTCATGAACCCAGTAGTTTGGAGAAAACCTATAGAGAAGATACAACTAGTGAGTTGTCGAAAGATCTACTCGCGAAATTTTTATAAATTTCATCCTAACACCAACCAAATGATGTTTATCACGTCAATCTCGTGTATATGTCACCGAAAGTCCAATATCTTTGTCTATATGACATCATTTTGTTTGTGTCACGTCAGGTTCTATACGACCCCCTTTTTAAATGATAAATTACCCATGAACATCGATCTTTATTAGACTTTATGTTAATCCCGAGTGGAAGCTTCAACATTACCATAGGTATAAATCGACTAGTTCCCCATTGTGTCTAGATCGGCACTACAAGAAAGTTGTACGACCAAATCTACCTATGAGAAAGACATTGTAATTTATGATGACAAGTCAGAGAAAAACCTAAAGATTCCCTCCTACCCTAAAAATCAAACGATGGACTGTTGTGAACTTCTCGACTCACCATGATTTAATCAAATGTGGAAGTATAAGTGAAGACTTCTTACCATGAAATGAACACTGTAGAACTCACCAACAATTTTGTTGATGTATCTTATGCACGTATTCTCAGGTTATTTAGCAGGTCGGATGTATTCACTTGGAAGATTCACCGTCATTTTCATTATACCTTTGTAAACACTAGATTGTTAGGCGTGTGTCACGAGTAAGCAATAGTCATTATCAATGTAATTTCTATTTTAGTAATAATAAATGATTATAGTTGTATTGTTCAATAACTGTGATTATCGATTTACGTCGCACACCTTGTCATTTCCGTTGGCGGGCTATGGTGTGACAGATTGGTATAAGAGCTAGTGGCTATAGCGAACTAGTACCTTCTTAGAAAGCACGACTATAGTGTAGGGCATACTCTCTAAGGTTAAGTGTATTCCTTAATCCACAAATATCAGAGCTATTGGTTATTTTTGGTTTTGAGCAAACAATATTTTTAAATGAGTATATTACACTTTTAAAACTCATTTTATTTTTGTACTTTTGATTGAAAGACACATATTGAGAAAAACTGGTTAACTAAAGAATCGTTACAAAAATACTTTTGGTTATAAAAATATTTTGTGTCAAAACCTGTAGAACTCACCAACAATTTTGTTGATGTATCTTAATGCATGTATTCTCAGGTTATTTAGCAGGTCGGATATATTCGCTCGGAAGATTCACTGCCATTTTCATTATACCTTTGTAAACGTCGGATTGTAAGGCATGTGTCACGAGTTAGCAATAGTCACTATCAATGTAATTTTTGTTGCGGTAATAATAGATGATTATATTTGTATTGTTCAATGTATGTTCAATAACTATGATTACTGATTTACGTCACGCACCTCGGCATTTCCGCCGTCGGCCGAGGATGTGACACCTTACCCTTATCCGAAGTATCCATAACATAGGCAAAATAACTAGAACAACCCTGTTGAAAATAACAGCTGGCCCTCGTTGCTGAACACAAAATCAAACCACGCTGAGATCTCTCCCATGAACCACTAACTATCCCCCACTTGGGGTCCGAACCTGATCTTACTGTTGCTCACAACTAATCACTGCCCTATTAGGGCTCAACCAATCCATACCCACAATAACCTTGTTCCCACATAGAGGAATGGGAACCAGATCGACCAGATACTACTTGTTAAATAACTTTACAGTACAACCCTGATGAACATTTGCAACCTGAACAGACCTATCATCAG